TGCCGTTTGAGGGGAGATACTTCTCACTTATGGTTTGGTCTGCATGTACCCGCCATGATGGCTTCTGAACCTGCACCATTCCAAGTGTGGTCTGGGGACTAGGAACAGGTCTGTCCCAGGAGAGCTGGTGAGACGTGTAAATTCCCTGGCCCTGCCCAGACCTAGTGGTTCAGATTCCTGGGGGATAGGGAGAATAAGAACTTGGGTTTAGGGTATTTAGAACTTGCCTTCAGGGTATACTAGTCCCACTGAAGTTCACAGGTAACTACAGATACATGCTGAAGGCATCTTCATGGAGAAGAAACTTAAGTCTTGTCCAGAAAGAGTACTTTATTTAATTTTTAGCTGGAGGATGTGACGGTTTCTTTCTAGAGACCACAGTGTGGACGATAGGGGTATATCCCGCTGGGATGCAAATGCAGAAATTCAACTCTGAATTGGGTGCCCTGAGGTTGGGAAGACTGGGACATAGACCTGCTCACTTCCATGACAGAATGTGCCCCTCAGATTTGACCTTTCCCACACCTGCAGGGCGCACCTGCTCTGCTGATGGAGCTCATTTGCACAGATCAACCCCTGAGTGAAGCTGGGGGAGATGCAGGTGCGTGGCTTGGGAGCTGGTAGCATGGTGTGTCTCAGGGGCACCAGGGTCCAGAGGAGCTCTTAGCATCTGAGACTGGTAACTATGGCCTGAGACCCAAGCAGCTTACTGCCTGTTTATGTAAATAAACACTTATTGGAACACAATCACTCTTATATGTTTGCACATTGTCTATTGCTCCTTTCGAGATATGACAGCAATTCTGAGTAGCTGAGAGACCATCGGCCCACAAAGGCCAGAATAGTTACTCTCTGGCTTCTTCAGAAATTTGTTTGCCAAACCCTGGTTTAGGTGATTTGGGCAAGGTCTTAGTAGCATCCAGTCTGCCCATGCATCTCACACAACATCCCCTGGGGGTGTGCATTCCTGCAAATCCTGCATTTTCAGGGGATTTCTGCATCCCTGGGGATTTGTGAGAGTGCAGATGCATTTTCCAAAGGTCAGAGGCCCTGAAGTTGGACATTTCTAAGATTCTTCCAGAAGATGCTGCTGCCCCAGATGCCAGGACAACTTTATAAGGGTGAAGCTAGAAGTCCTTCCTCTATTCACCAACCTTCCACGGGCCAGGAAAACTGTGTGAGCCTCCCCTCGAGAGCAGAAGCCACACATGCTGAGTGGGACCCAGAGCTCTGTCTTGCTCAATCGTGCACATTGGGTGTCCTGCAAGATCACAGACATTCTACCTCTGGCCACATGGGTCACCATCAGCCATAAATATAGAGACAGCAGCTCAGACTTGTCTTGGTTGTGCCACCTGGAGCTGGTTCACGAGGTCCTAAGGGAGGGAGGACCCCACTGACACAGATGCAAATAGGCTGCCTTTCTGAGAGGAACTCCATCAACTGCTCAGCCCCTCCCTCCAGAACATGGCACAGGAAGCTTCTGGAAATGCTGATGTTCTACATGAGGAACCTGGACAATGAGGAGTTTCTAAAATGCCAAGTCATAAAACCTCAGACACTTGCAAAGTAAGAGAACAAATATGCACAGAGCTGCTCAGCCACTGATGTGCAACTCCTGGGAACAGCTGGTGTCCACGGGGGAGGGGGCAGCATGAGGCCAGGCATGTGAGTGGCTTCCACTCAGGAGAGCCCCTCTGAGCAGGTCTTGTTCAGGAGTTCAAAATATGTCTTCCAGGGCATGGTTTCAACAGTGAAGAAGCAGCTGAAGGTCTGAGGGAACAAACAGGAAGAGACAGTAGGGCGGGGTTTGGGGAGGTTCCGGAATCCTGTGGCATCTGCCCTTGACACAGGTTCCATCTCCACCTTGCCCATTCCTGGGCCAGCAATCGAGCCACGTGGCTCTGGCCTTCAGGTCTAGCCTGAGCCTGAGGCCAATCCTGACCTACATCGTGATTTGAGGCTCCCTCCTTAGCCAGGGTCACTTGTGCCATGCCTCCTCCTCCAGCCCGTGCCCCTCAGGGAAACCCCAGGCTGTCCTGGTGTGATCCCTGCACCCAAGAGCAGCAGGAGAACACTTTGTCCCATGGAAGCAGTTCCAAGACTTAGGCAATTAGTTACCTGTTTGTTAATCTTACAATAAGGGGATTGACTAAGAACAGGAAGTTTTCCCAGAGCCAGGATTCGCTTGGAGCTCATCCCCTAGAGCAGGGTCTGCAGCTCAGCAGGGCCTAGGAGCAAGGGCAGTGGGGCTTCTTCTCAGCCTTCACCACTTTTGGGTCTAGGACAGGGTAGGGAAACCCTGAGAAAAGTATCCAGAGACATTGTCACCATTGTCTCCGGGCTCTTTCTCTAGAAGGCAGGGAAGAAGTGGGGAGGAAGACCAGAGAGAAGGTTCTGAAGGCCATGTGGCCCAGGTGCAGGCAGCTGCAATGGTGTCAGAGGGCAGAGTCAGGAAACTCAGATTGGCTGGGGGCCTGAAAGTGAAGCCCTGGGTGTCCTGCCTCACTGGGCTTCCCACTAAGGCACAAGCAGGGCAGCCTGGTAGAGCCTGCTGTGGGCTCACTTGCCTTTGTCACTCGGAATGGCTTTGTCAGCTGCTCCTGTGCCCACACCACACCCCATGCAGCATCCACAGTTGTGGACCTGAGGAAAGCTGAGGCACTGTCTTACATTGTTCAGCTCCGGGCTTTCTTGAAAAGGGCAGTTTTCAATGTCATCTTCAAATTTCCAACATACAGTTTGGCGCAGTTGTAGATTCATGGAGAACACCATCTTACCTCGCCACTGTTGGACGAAAAGAGATTAAAGTGGATGCACCGTCCTCCCGCCCCTAAGTAGCTGCTAGTGAAGATGCCATTTGTGCAGGAGAGACCCCAACACTCTACTGCATTTGAGAGCTTGCCCATGGGCTTGGCATCAGCTCACTGGAGGTAAAACCCAGGGGATCCTCTCTAGACTGAGGAGTTAAGAGCAAAAAGCAGGTGGGCATGGTGGGTCTGGGGAGGATGCAGGTTGAGCCAGACCCCACTAACACATTCTCCACCTCCACCCACCCCCATTTCCCATGGCGAGACTCCAGCTTCACTCTCAGCAGGCATGTGATCTTGCAGCTGCGTTCCCAGAGGACAGAGCCACATGTCCAGGAGGGTGTTGGATCTCCAAGAGTTTTCAGGGTAACCTGAGCCCTGGGACAGAGGGAGCCTCATCTACAGCGTGTTGTCAAAACCTTCCAACCGACCTCTACCAAGAAAAATGACACACAGTGCTCCCACTACACACAGGCACAAACCCTGGGAAAACAGCTTCAAGACACCGTCTGCCCTACTGCAAAGTGCATGCTGAAGTTCTCCTTGCTCTCCTTCCCACTCCATTCTATTTCATTCCACTGCATAGCCTCCCTCCCACCCATCTATTCTTCCCAGCCCCCAACATGATGCTGGGATTGCCATATCCTGGAAGCCATGTGGAAGGCTTTCAGAACTCACAGTCATTTAGGACTTAGAGACCACAGTAAGGAGCTTAGATTTTATTCTAATGGTATTAAGAATGGAGGCTTACACCGAGGTCTTGGAGAATCAAGCAAAACACTGGGAAAGCAGAAGCATGAGGCCTGGCCAATCTCAGTCTCTGAGACTTCCAAGGTTCCAGCATGACTCTTAGCAGACACCATCACTTGACCCTTTGAGGGCTGCATCAGGCTTTTAATTCTCCTGAGAGGAGGCAGGAAATGAGCAAGGAGGAGAATTCCTCTGTACCAGCATTGCAATCCTGAGGATGGCAGAGAAGAATCCACCCCAGGAGGCAGAGAACCAGCCAGGGCCTTGCACAGAGTCTTTCCAGAGCTTAAGCTATGTGCGGCACTGGAGTCCCTCTGCCCTTCCTTCAGGCTCTTGCTTCCGAGAAAGGAAGAGCAATGCTCCTCTCTCTAAACCAGAAGTGCTCCATTAGGAGGGCATTTTAACTGTTCATGCCTGAAGCCCAGATGAACTGTGCATTCCTGACCACGTTAATGATTTCATCAAAAAGGCAAACATTTTAGGATGAAGGTCCATTGAGGAAGAGTGTAAATCAGCCTTCAGTTCATTAAGTGCAGACAGAGCAAGGAGCCCAGAGAAGGTGGAGATCAGAGAACTGACCTCTCACAGTGGCCTCTCAGGGCTGATAGTGTTCTTTATTGCCCTGAATTCTCACTGTTCTCTCTCTCTCTCTCTCTCTCTCTGTGTGTGTGTGTGTGTGTGTGTGTGTGTCCTTGCTTTTCCATTTTCATTTTATGACCTTGCAATATTTCTCAGTCTCTTTGGTTATTTTCTCTTCTTGTCAGCTTCATCTCCTTAGAAGTCCTTATTCTGAAGTCACTCTTCAGTTATACAATGTCATAAAAATCATGAAGATTGAAAAATATATCTTGCATGTGAATAGACATTTACCTAATTTTAATTTTTTTTTAAGTTCAATGTTTTCCAAAACTGAAACTACCATAATTAGTTATGGACTACCCAACTATGGCCTGCCGATGGTGAATCAAGTCTCCTAGACCAGACACCTTGGTCCCACACTTAGGGGCAGATGGAGAAGGACAGGCCAGAAGAGGATGTGGTCACCAACCTTTCTGTCCAGGGTATCCTCTCTCCATGAACTCAGAACGCGCAACAGTCTGTAGGCATGCTCCTCCTTGCTCTGCACGTTGAAAGCGTTCAAGGCAAACTCCACTGTGGCGAGGAACATAGGATCCTGGACTAGTTTATTATTACCACCCATTTCCTCTTCAGAGCACCGGGCATAGGTCACCAGGAGCTGGAAGCCCATGAGAAGCAGTGACAGTGCCCAGGGCAGAGCCTTCCTCCTCTGTGGACTCGACATGATGCAGGCTCCAGCAGCCCCTGCCTTTGCCCTTCAGATACCTGGCATCCACTGGAGCCTTCCAGGGCTCAGATCTGGCCCTTAAATTCACCTGCTGGGGCAGAAACTCCTCCCTCCAGGCCTCATCTCTGTGGTTACACCCTGTCTCTCCCACACGCGGCCTCTCTTCTAAAGCCGTTTAAATCATCTCCTGTTCAGGCGACAGGAACAGCACCCAGGCAGGTGGGTTGGGAAAGACCAACAATGAGAGAGGGAGTGCCCTGAACATAAGACCCAGCCCCAGCTGCCCCAGCACCTCCACTGGCTAAAGGGGCCCTCCACTGGGCGCCCCAGTAGAGGTCAGAGCCCGGCGCTGGAACACAAGTGCAAGAGGTATGATTGGAAGGTGAGAGCTGGACTCAACAGTGGAGGTGGGGTGGGAGGGGAAGATGCGTAGAAAGGCAGGAAAGGGATGACAGTGGACGCTAGGATCGTGGGTGAGCAGGCACAGGCCCCAGAGAAAGTGCTGAGCCTCTTGAGAGAGAGGTGGGGAGCCCCGGAGGCCTGGTGCGAGGTCCTGCAGGTGTCTGCTTCCCCAAGGGTCTCAGGACGGGGGCCCCAGCCTGGGGGGTCCTGGGCAGGGGTTGAGGAAACCAAGAGCAGGAGCCCGCAACCCTGTTCTCTGCACCTCCCTGAATGCAGCTTCCCAAGCCAGGGACGCGCTGCCAAGTGCTGGTACTAGGGGCCTGGCTCCTTATGGCTGTCCCTCTTCCTCAAAGGTGTTTCCAGGACGGGTGACCGCTTGCAATTGGAGCAGTGGAGAACCAGAAAGACGAAGATGCCCCCAGGAATGGCTGAGCTGCGCCCATTAGGTCGTCACGGGTGCCCTCTTGTGGCCACAGCCGGCGCAGCTCAACGGCACAGTTTGTGGGTGATTCTGAGTTCTCCACCAAGACCGTCCTAGCCTGCAACTCCAGCAGCAAATGGGGCTCTGAAAAGACTGAATAAGGCACCCTTCCCAGACCAGACTTCAGCTTTGTCCCTGTGAAACATGCCTTCGATGTTTATCCACAGCTCCTTGTACACTTCAGAAGCAACCAGCATCCCCTGAAGTCATATTAAAAAGCGAGTTCCTAGTTTCCCCACCCGAAGATTCTGACCCAGTAGCTGTGAGCAGGGCCAGGGAACCTACATTTCTCACCAGCTTCCAGAGGATGGAGTGTTCCCGGTCTCGAAACCACACTTTGAGTGCTGCAGGCTCAGAATACTTCCTGGGAGGTGCATACAGACCAAACCACAAATAAGAAGTAACTCGGCTTGAGGGACATGGAGGTCAGGGGTTGAGCGTGGTTTTTGTGGGGAACACGGGATGGGGAACAGTCTCAGACAGCATGCCTGGTGATAAAAAGTAAGAATTTGTTTCTAGACCCTGTGTGCAAAGAAGCAGCAACTCAATGTGACCATTCCAGGAAAGCAGCCAGATGTGCCCAAAACATCACCCAAGGTGTCTGTATCCTTTCTCTGATGGCGCTGAGTTCGCTGGAACTGCAGCTGAAGTGTTAGTAACGTGGTTTCTTAGCTGCAGAGTGATGGTGCACGTGGGGGTAGGAAGGGGGTGTCAGTGAGGGTGGAAATGCCTTCGTGGGTTTTGGGATGAGCAGGCCATAAGGTGCTGTGAGACCTAGAATCCTGATGCCTGGAATAGGTTGCAAGTGTCCTGAGAGAGGCCTGCAACGCCCACGGAGGTCACTCTCACCTTGTAAGGTCAGGGGCGGGTGAACTTGGGGCATCCTGCCAATCACCAGTGAGTCCCCCACCATTCTGAGGGCAGATACCCACATGCACTCCAAAGGGAGTGCCCACACTGGCTCTTACATGAGCAGTGGTTTAGGGTCCTGGGCACCAGCTCTGTCCTCATTGTGAAAAAGGGATGGGGATCCCCACACCCAGATGTGAGACCATGGGTGTGCAGACACCATGGACCCTTACAAGTGTGTATTTTCTAGTTGAATCCCCAGTGGCCTGGGATAGCCTCCCTTCCCAGGTGGAGAGAGATGGGAATATCAAGACATAGCCAGGTGAAGAGAAGTACATGTGGGCTCCAGGCTGCGGAGCCCCGAAGACGTCAACATGTTGCTGAGGCCAGAGTGAAACCGGAGGGCCCGGAGGGACTGGCTGGCCAGCCCACAACCGCAGCTCACAGCTCTCTGAGGGGCTCTCCCCAGGTCTCAGGTCTGGGAGGTTTTCACAGCCGCAGCTCACAGCTCTCTGCGGGGCTATCCCCAGGTCTCAGGTCTGGGAGACTTTCTCTCCTGAAACCTCTTGTAAGAGTTCTGTCTCACTCAGCTTCTTCCTGGGCACTCGTTGGCCTGTCTGTCTCTGGGGCCACCGGGACTTGTGTGGTGCCCTGTTTGTGTTGCTGGCACTGGCACCGAACACCCATGTGGTCTCATAGGAAGGTCCCAGTAACTCCTCACTGAAATGGACCTGCTTTTCCAGAAATGAGGTCCTGTATTTCTGGACGCATTCCTTTGAATGATTAGAGAATGCTGGCAACGACCAGGACCAAGCCACTGGCCCTTTTCTGTGAAGCTGAATGTGAGGTGGAGGACCAGGGGAAGCCCAGTGACTCTTCGGGACACAGGACACTCTCCCCAGCTCCCACAGACCCTCCAGCTGAGTGCTCTCCCCGGGGTCTGACTCATGTCCCTCACTGCCCGGCCTACTCAGCCACATGCTCTAAAGGTCCTGTGCAACCTTGCTCACTGTCTCTTTCAAGCCGGGCCAGGTTCAGTGGGGCCTGCCAGTTTCAGGATCGCCTGCTGGGCTTCAGGATCACATCCTCAGGACCCTCCCCGTTCTCCCTGCTTGGCATTTCCCAAGGGGACTCCCCAGACAAGCCAGTATTCCCGGGGGTTTCCGTGTGCTGGAAAGCAAGGCGGCATCCAGGAGATCAAAGGAAGACAGCAGGGGCAGGAGGAGCCCTGGACTCAGAGCAGAGTGGTCCAGTGATTGCTGTCACAGCAGTTATTAAAGGGGCCGCTCTGGGCACGGGGGTTGGGGTGGCTGCCAGGGAATTCCAGGGCCCTCTCCACTCCTCCCTTCCTTCCCCCAGTTTTTCCGCCTGGGGGGTTCTTCTTAGCTGTCTTCAGCTGACTTTGAGTTTTGATAATCTAACGAATTAATCTTATAGAGACTATAGCAAACTTAAACTGAGAAAGAGAAATAACAATTGAATTAAAAATGACAAAAGGGGAAGTAAAAATACAAACATTACCACTAAATATATGAGGCCTAAATCAGGGGTCGCTCATACCACGTACAAATCGGAAGGCCCGTGGGCTGTTTCTCCTCCCTCCTGTGGGTCCAGCAGGTCCCTCACCCTGGCTAGGTTGGGGTGCTGCCCTGGGCCTGGGAGCTTTGCTCTGAAGAGGAAGTGCTGCCTCAGTCACCCTCAGCAGTCCTCCTGTTCGCTGGCCTTTGCGGACACACCTGCCTTCCCTCCTCAGTGGGCGTTTGCTAAGCTTCTGCTGTGCTCCCAACGGAATCCTCTCCCATCCAACGCAGCCCAGTGTTTTCATTCCTAAGTACTTTAGTTTTCAAAAAATTTTAAGTTAATTTAAATTTAAAAGAGTACAAAAATGTCATAATACCACTTCTTTTTTATTTTTAAAATTTCTGTAGAGATGGAGTCTCACTATGTTGCCCAAGCTGGTCTCGAACTGGCCTCAAGTGATCCTCCTGCCTCAGCCTACAATTCCACTTTTACTAAGTGAAATGTAGGTTTCAACATAATAGAAACTCCAAATACCAGTGGCTTAAGTAAACTGGGGTTGCTTTCTCTTTCATGATGCTGACAATGGCTAGAATTCTTACAAGCCTCACTGCCTTCTTGACTCAGGGACCTTGTCCTGATGGACTGTAGTTAATTAAGTCCTTCCTGATTTAATTGGGAATGGTGAAATAGGGTGGAGCTTGTAGGATCAGGTGCTTGTGATGATAACTAACAGACTGTGGTTAATTAAAGCATTATCTATTGAGTTGATTTTACACTGGGTTGGCTCCATTCGTTTCCTCTTAAATTGGAGTTGCAACGGGCACCTTTGTCCCGGTTTTCGTGTGCACCTGTGTGAGAGCTTCTCTAGGGTAGGCCAGAAAGGAAATTGCAGACGTATGAGATAGTCTCCTTTCAGCTTCATTAGGGACCGCTGTGCTGATGATTTCCTTTTCTTTTTCCTTTTTCGAGACGAGGGGTTGGGCGGTCTCACTATGTTGCTTAGGCTGGTCTTGAACTCCTGGGCTCAAGTGATCCTCTCACCTCCGCCTCCCAAAGTGCTAGGATTACAGGCGTGAGCCACCGGGTGCGGCCTGATTTCTTTCACCATATAGATTTTTCTTAAAAATTGAAGACAGTTTAATGTATCAATGTTTTGTTTAGGGTATGTGCCTTTGTATTTTTCATTTTAACAATCCTTTCCTATGCTCTTCTATGTTCTCTTTCGCCATGTTCTTTCTTTTACTTTTCACACTTAGGTGTGCGATCCAACCAGAGGCTGAGTGTGTGTGGTGTGAGGTCAGAATCCCAGGGTCGATCCTCTCCCCCACCGCCTGTGTGCACAGCTAGCTTTTCCAGCATTGACGATGGAGCAGCTCATTCTCCACCCTCTGATTCCAACAACATTTCTGTTGTAGTCCCCTTCCCCCAAAAGGCTGGCTGCCTTTGAGTGTCTTTTCTATTGGACTGGCTATATGAAGGAGGCACAGGCCTGAGCTAAGAAGGTCATTGTTTGATCTTGGCCAGGAAAGGAAGAAAAATTCTTGGGCACATCCCAGGCCTAGGCACACTTCCTGGGCCCTGCCTGCTAGAATAGATGGGTCTGTTCCCTGGTTCTAGCCCCAGACTCCCTGCCACAGCCTCCCATCCTCGGGCTGCTGCTCTCTGCTAAGATCCTCTCTTTGGGCATATGGTCTGAGTTTGGATCCCAGCTTTTCAGAAAAGCTTCATGTATTGGCCATGATTATTGATGCTACTGTTATCACAAGCTCCTCGCCCTGCAAGCTCACCCTCTTCCTTCATTCTTTGGAAACATGAGATTGGTTCTTGCAGGCAACTTTTCTTCCTAGGAAGCTGAAATTACCTTTTTGATGCAGACAAGCACTTGTCCTGAAGAGTAAGGGGAGGAACCAGATGTCTATCACTGAGAGGCGGGAGTGCAGAACTGCAGACAGGATAAGTGGGGACATCTTCACTGATTGCAAGGAAATAGTACCATTATTGGCTCCAATTGTAGAGGCTGGAGTCTTTAGATGACTTGTATGGTTTACAGACTCCACGGAAGGAGGCAAAGCAGTAGCTGAGGAGGTCTTTGGAGTTGGGCACACATGAGTTCAGGTCTCATTTGCACCTTTTACTAGTTGCATTTCCTGGGGGCACATTTCTACTTCATGTGAGCTTCTGTTTCCACAACAGTGCAATTGAACTCTTGTGGTATCTCCTTCACTGAGCTGTCGTGAAGATGAATGGGGAGATGTATGGAAGGCACTGGCAGGAGGCCCAGCAGGACCAGGCCCTCCGGAGATAGTGTTTGTGCTGCTCATTCTCATCACCAGTTCTAGGGGGAACATCCCTCACAAGCCAGGCTTGTTGATAACAACCTTCTCAGCAGGCAAGTGGCAGAGGAGCTACGGAGGGACCCAAATGTCCAAGCTCCCACCAGGGGTAGGCAGGTAAAAAGGAGCAGATGATTCCATGGCTCGTCAGCAATTACCAGGTTGTTTGGGACAGTGTTGACAAGGCACAGAAAAGGGATTGCATTTTACTGTTTGGCTTTGAGTTTAGACTTTTGGTCCGAGTCAGGTTGGGATCAGAACTCAAGAGAGTTTCTTCTGGAGAATTAAATACAATGATTGTCTCTTTGAAAGGCTCTGACAACCAAACTCACTTTCCCAAGCTGCATTTGAAAGTGTTGAGATGCTTGGGTTCATGTCCTTGTGTTCTGCCTTGCAGCTGGGAAACCTGGTGCACGTCAGCATTCCGAAGCCCCCTTTCCTCACCTATGGTTTTGGATCAAGTTTAGCTGAGAGATCGTATACAGTGACATTGTGTGACCTCTTACAGTACAATTTGACTGTTAGCTGTTAGAAGACCCACTATCCCCCGTCCTCATTCTAAAGTCAAAACAGCCTCTGGGCTCCTCTTTTTCTCTATTGGGAGCAAGTTTTCTTTTAAAATAAAGTCAGGGATACGCGCCAGATGTAATCATCAGCTGAGGCCCTCAAAACCTTTCATTCCAATCACTCTAATTTCTGTCACAATGGCGCCTTGTCACTGTGAGCCTTTCTGTAGAGGGTATTTGGGGCTGTCCTGCCTCTGGCCACTTCATGTACACTGATCACAGTGTTCTCAATACTTTTCATTTTGACACTTGGACAATGTTTACTTCTTTGAAAACATTCTCTTTAGACTTGGCCAATTTGACAAACGTGTTCTTTCTGCCTTCTTTAGTGGTTGTCCAGGCATGGACAACAGCGGCTTTCTCCTGGAACTGATTCCATTCAGGGTCCTTTTGGATCTCCTGCAATAGTTTTCCTTTGATTCAGCCAAATTTTCCACTTCTTCAATAAGTGTTATTTAGAGATCAACCTCAAATCTCCAACATTGGCACTTATTTTGAAACCTTAAGCAGTTCAACCCATGCCAGAGATAATACTTTCTTTCGGGGGACAAAAACCGATTCAGTCTATTTTCCACCATCTTTACTTTTCCAGACACATCAGTGATTCTTGACACATTAATATCTACCTCAAGCCTCACCACAATCCATGTGATTTTAGGCTAAGGAATTCGATTTGGGATATGTTTCTCCAACATCCACATACAGTGGTTCAAGACAAAAGATAACCTATATCAATATTTAAATCTAAATGCCAAATATTGGAGGTTGGGTTATACGTGGATGGGTCAATTGCCATCTTCCACATCACAGGCTGGACACATATTCTTTGAAACAGGCAAGTGCAGTTATTGCTGGGTAGGCCAACGGTCTAGAGAAGTTGTGAGGTAAGATGCCAGGAGAACTGGGACATAACAACCTGCTCCTGAGCACTGAAACAGAAGCTTGGAGCAGATGGAGACTTGGATTTTTGTCTTAAGCTCATCTGCAATTTGCAGACAGTACTTTGATAATAATAAAATAATGTTTCTTTTTTATTTTAGCTTTGAATTCAGAGTCTTTCACACCCAGAAGGGTGATAAGGGTTGGGGGCCAGGGGCAGGAGGATTGGGTAGGGTGAGAGGACTTGCTCCTTAGGGGTGCTCCACCATGGACATTCAGATGAGAAGTGGGTGGGAGGAGAGGAAAGCTCCCAGAAAATCCAGTGGGTCATGTGGGAAGTAATTTGTGGCACTTGTTTTTAGGTTTACCAGATTAAATGGTCTAAGATAATCATGGGGGATCCTTCATCCACTGCCACACATTTCAAGAGCTTAAGGCTAGAGTCTTTGAAGTCAAATTCTAGGTTGTAGAATGTGCCTGCAGGGCTCCCCAGCCTGTTCCCCATCTCTGTGTTCCCTGCTCTGTTTCAGGATATTTTTCTACAGGGCTTGCACATTCTCATGAGATTGTAAGATTGCTTAGAAAAACTGAATTCACAGCAATGCTTACTCGCCCTGGTGTGCGTACACACACACACACACCCAAAAAGCAAAACATAAACAACAAAGACTCCTTGGTGGAACTTCAGAGCACTAGACTCAGCCCTGGGTCAGGTGCGCTCTGCCCCAGAGCCTTTTATGTTTTACTGTATACTTAGAAGGGTATCAGAGTCCTGGAAGTGCAGCTGGTCTCCATGTTGGCTTGGGTCCTGGAAGAGATGGCCAAAGGCTATTTGCCAACAGAGAGACCATAGAGCCCTACAGGACTCAAGTTGAAATCCTCCAACTACAAATTTTAAATTATTAATACTTCCAATGGACTTTTTGTGTTTCCTTGCCAGAACCAACAATTCTCAAATCTGGCTGCCCATCTAAGCCACTTGGGGAGCTTAATCTGTAGATGTTCATATGAATTCTGAAGCCTCACCTGATGAATTCAATGCCTGCAATGAGACCTGGGAACCGGATCTTGAACAGCCATGGCGCCTTCTGCAGGCTGGCCTTCGGTAACCACTGGGGGTTGATTCAAAGGTCTTTCTGAGCTCTCCTGACCTAGGATCCTCTGATTCAATGAATGCATCCCTAGCAGGGCAACAAAGAGCAGGGCTTCAGTCCCTTACTGCATGCCCACCTGCCCATCAGTGCATCCTGCCTGCACCTCGCCTCTCCCAAGCCGTGGTTGCTTCTGAGAACTAAAAGCGCTCCTCTCATTAGAAGAGCCCAGCACCGGCCCTGCCTCTCACTGGGACTCCTTTGGATCCCAGCTCAGCAGGATCCTGCAGGAAGAGAGTAGGGTCTGTTACATAGGGGTAAATCTGTGCTCCAAACCCTGATGGTGTCCACTAGAAGGCCCTGCCTGTTCCAATCTTGGTGATGGGTAATGACCTTGCCCTTCAGGAAATTGTTTCTGGCATAAAATGAGACTTCTGTGCCTGTGACTACTGAAAAGGATGTGACAGATGCAAGAAATACTCCGAAGGAAGAAGTAATTTAGCTTAATGTAAAGGGTTTTTCAGTGGTAAAATATGCATAATAAAAAACTTACCATTTTAACCATTTTTAAGTTTACACTTCAGTGGCATTAAGTACATTCACGTTGTTGAGCTGCCATCACCAGTATCCATCTAAGGAGCATTTTCATCTTCTCAAACTGAAGCTCTGTCCCATTAAACAATGACTACCATTATCCTTACCTCCAGCCCCTGGAAACCACCATTCTACTTTCTGTCACTATGAATTTGACTATTCGAGTTACCTCATATACATGAAATCAGTGTTTATTTTTTTGTGACTGGCATATTTCACGTAGCATAATGTCTTCAAGGTCCATTAATGTTGCAGCAAATGTCAGGATTTCCTTCCTTTATAAGGCTGAATAATATTCTGTTGTATGTGTATAGTACATTCTGTAAATCCACTCATCATCCATCAATAAACTCTTGGGTTGGTTCCACCTTTTGGCTGTGGACATGGATGTGCAAATATTATGTTTGAGTCCCTGCTTTCACTTCTTTTGGGTATATATCCAGAAGTAGAATTTGAATCAAATGGTAATTCTATTTTTATTTTTGTTATACTTTAAATTCTAGGGTACATGTACACAACGTGCAGATTTATTACATAGGTATACATGTGCCATGTTGGTTTGCCACACCCATCGAGTCGATATTTACATTAGGTATTTCTCCTAATGTTATCCCTCCCCCATTCCCCCACCCTCTGACAGACCCTGGTGTGTGATTTTCCCCACCTTGCCCATGTGTTCTCATTGTTCAAATCCCACCTATGAGTGAGAACAGATGGTGTTTGGTTTTCTGTCCTTGTGATAGCTTGCTGAGAATATTGGTTTCCAGCTTCATCCATGTCCCTACAAAGGACATTAGCTCATCCATTTTTATGGCTGCATAGTATTCCATAGTGTATGTTTGCCACATTTCCTTAATCCAGTCTATCGTTGGTGGACATTTGGGTTGGTTCCAAGTCTTTGCTATTGTGAATGTGCCACAATAAACATATGTGTTCATGTGCTTTTGTAGTAGTATGATTGATATTTCTTTGGTTATATACCCAGTAATGGGATCACTGGGTCAAATGGTATTCCTAGTTCTGGATCCTTGAGGAGTTACAACACTGTCTTCCACAATGGTTGAACTGATTTACACCCCCACCAACAGTATAAAAGCATTCGTATTTATCCACATCCTTTCCAGCACCTCTTGTTTCCTTTTTCATGATTGCTATTCTAACTGGTGTGAGATGGTATCTCATTATGGTTTTGATTTGCATTTCTCTGATGACCAGTGATGATGAGCATTTTCTCATGTGTCTGTTGGATGCATAAATGTCTTCTTTTGAGAAGTGTCTGTTCATATCCTTTGCCCACTTTTTGATGGAGTTCTGTGTTTTTTTTCTTGTAAATTTGTTTATGTTCTTTGTAGATTCTGGACATTAGCCCTTTGTCAGATGGGTAGATCGCAAGACTTTTCTCCCATTCTGTAGGTTGCCTGTTCACTCTGATGATAGTTTTTTGTTTTTTTTTTTTTTCCTGTGCAGAAGCTCTTTAGTTTAATTAGATCCCATTTGTCTATTTTGGGTTTTGTTGCCATTGCTTTTGGTGTTTTAGTCATGAAGTCTTTGCCCATGACTATGTCCTGAATGGTATTGCCTAGGTTTTCTTCTAGGATTTTGATTGTTTTAGGTCTTACATTTAAGTCTTTAATCCATCTTGAGTTAAATTTTGTATAAGGTGTAAGGAAGGGATCCAGTTTCAGCTTTCTACATATGGCTAGCCAGTTTTCCCAGCAACATTTATTAAATAGGGAATCCTTTCCCCATTGCTTAGTTTTGTCAGGTTTGTCAAAGATCAGATGGCTGTAGATGTGTGGTGTTATTTTCTGAGGCCTCTGTTCTGTTCCCTTGGTCTATATATCTGTTTTGGTATCAGTACCATACTGTTTTGAATACTGTAGCCTTGTAGTATAGTTTGATGTTCAGGTAGTGTGATGCCTCCAGCTTTGTTCTGTTGGCTTAGGTTTGTCATGGCAAGCAGGCCCTTTTTGGGTTCCATATGAACTTTAAAGTAGTTTTTTCAAATTCTGTGAAGAAAGTCATTGGTAACTTGATGGGGATGGCATTGAATATATAAGTTACCTTGGGCACTGTGGCCATTTTCATGATATTGATTCTTTCTACCCATGAGCATGGAATGTTCTTTCATTTGTTTGTGTCCTCTTTTATTTCATTGAGCAGTGGTTTGTAGTTCTCCCTGAAGAGGTCCTTCAAATCCCTTGTAAGTTGGATTCCTAGGTATTTTATTCTTTTTGTAGCAATTGTGAATGGGCAGTCAGTCATGATTTGGCTCTCTGTTTGTCTGTTATTGGTGTATAGGAATGCTTGTGATTTTTGCACATTGACTTTGTATCCTGAGACTTTGCTGAAGTTGCTTATCAACTCAAGGAGATTTTGGGCTGAGATAGTGGGGGTTTCTAGTATACCATCATGTCATCTGCACCAAACAGGGCAATTTGACTTCCTCATTTCCTAATTGAATACCCTTGATTTCTTTCTCTTGCCTGATTGCCTTGGCCAGAACTTCCAACACTTTGTTGAATAGGAGTGGTGAGAGAGAGCATCCTTGTCTTGTGCCAGTTTTCAAAGGGAATGCTTCCGAATTTTGCCCATTCAGTGTGATATTGGCATATGGGTTTGTCATAAATAGCTCTTATTATTTTGAGATATGTTCCATCAATACCAATTTATTGAGGTTTTTAGCATGAAGAGGGCTATTTAATTTGTTGAAGGCCTTTTCTGTGTCTCGTGAGATAATCATGTGGTTTTGTCTTTTGTTCTCATTTATGTGATGGATTATGTTTGTTGCATACATTGAACCAGCCTTGCATCAGGGATGAAGCCAACTTAATCGTGGTGGAAAAGCTTTTTGATGTGCTGCTGGATTTGGCTTGTCAGTATTTTGTGAAGTTTTGCATCGATGTTCGTCAGGGATATTGGTCTAAAATTCTCTTTTTTTGTGTCTCTGCCAGGCTTTGGTATCAGGATGATGCTGGACTCATAAAATGAGTGAGGAGGGTCCCTTTTTTCTATTCATTGGAATAGTTTCAGAAGGAATGGTTGCCCGCTCCTCTTTTTGTACCTCTGGTAAGAATTCAGCTGTGAGATCTGTCTTGTCCTGGACTTTTTTTGGTTGGCTGATATGTTGTAAGCCTCAGTTTCAAGAACCTGTTTATTAACTGGTCTACTCAGGGTTCAACTTCTTCCTGGTTTAGTCTTGGGAAGGTGTATGTGTCAGTTATTTTCATTTCTTCTAGATTTTTGAGAGTTGATTTGCGTAGAGGTGTTTGTAGTATTCTCTGTTATTAGTTTGTATTTTTGTGTAGGATCTGGTGACAATCCTTTACCATTTTGCATCTCATTTGATTTTCTCTCTTTTCTTCTTTAGTTAGTCTTGCCATGGTCTAACAGTTTTGTTGATCTTTTCCAAAACCAACTCCTAGATTCATTGATTTTTTGAAGGGGTTTTTGTGTCTCTAACTTCTTCAGTTCTCTGATCTTAGTTATTTCTTGCTTTTTCTGCTACCTTTTTGAATTTGTTCACTTTTTGTACTTTTAAATTTGATGACGCCCCTCCCCAGAGGCTGCTGCCTTGCAGTTCAATCTTGGACTGCTGTGCCAGCAGTGAGCAAGGCTCTGTGGCATGGGACCCACTGAGGCAGGTACAGGATAGTATCTGGGTGACACATTTCACTTTCAGAACCATTTAAAAAAGTTGCAGTATTTGGGTAACAGTGTGTTTTCCATTACAGTCTGTCACAGCTTCCCTTGGCTAGGAGAAATCTCCCAAGCCTCTTTGTGTTTCCCAGGTGAGGGCTGTGCCTGCCATGCTTCAAGCACCCTCCGTGCACTGCACCCTGTCCAACCAGTTCCAATGAGATGAACCAGGGTACCTTTAGTTGAAGTGTAAGGCTCTTTCCATCACTTCTGTTGATCCACTGGGAGCTGCAGACGGGTGCTGTTCCTGTTCAGCCAT